TTGAAATTACACACCACCTTCGCAAATAGTGTTCGCGTTAATGTCAACAACTTCTTATTGAGTTACGAAAGCTGTTACGGTAGTGGGCACTTAGTCTATAATGTGCGACGTTTAAAGCACACTGCTGACGACGTGATTGAAAATGGCAGTCTATAGTCATTTTCTGCCTTTCCTCTTGAATCGTACATGCGGAAAATTAGACACTTCGTACACTGCGGACTTGCTGCGGCTAACCAAGCGGCACAGCGATGTGCCGAAGAAGTTTACTGAATAAGGGCATGGCAGACAGTGTGACTGAGTCTGAGGTAAGTTACGGTTTATGTAAAGAGATCATCACTTGCAGAAACATAAAGCTATCAACTACCAGGCCTGACAGTGTAGTAATTGCCAACGGCCAACCAAGGTCCATCAGACAAATCACTAATGGAGGCAGGATTAGGTTTATGGCATTCCATAACCTTTTAGATTTCTTTACTGACCCCTTTTCTTCCGGCACTATAGGTATATTCAAGTGCTCTACGTAGGCCACGACTGTACGTGGATTACACTGACAGATATAACTCGCAAATGTATCTGTATACCAACACAGCATTATGAAGTTATCAATCACCTGGTACACACATATCAATAGATAATGTGACATCATTTCTCGAGGCCTGTCGCAAATATAATGGTTTGTGCAGTGAGTATGCCTGTTGGTTAGTGCTTTGGCCTCGCTCCTCAGGAAGTTTTAGCGAATGTTCATGAATGTAATAGACTTTAAATATTTAACGTCATGGCATTGATTTTTAGCATCAGTGAAGACAGTACCTCTTGGTTAACGACAAGGAGAAAAAGCAAGTTCTAGCCATCTCTAGCAAGTAGTTGCTGAACAACGAGCTTTTTATTTTTCGTGATGATGTGACTGTAACCAATATTCTTGAAAATATCGATTACGATAGTCGCTTTTCTTTGAGAAAATACACGGTACTGTATCTTTTTGGTAAGTCGTAATCAATTTTATTTCATTGTTTTCAGATGACTACCATGCAGCCAAAAAACGAAAGTACCTTTTACTACAGTACTCGTTTACAAAAACAAAAAATGAAACCGACGATGATACGCTTCCGTGTAGAACCGAGAAGAAGAAAAGGTAAATTGTTCAACGTACGCAATTCCTTTATTGTTAGGACTGTAAAACACAGATTAAACGATTACTTATGCATTTCCGAAGAACTAGAGGTTGCCGAAATTGAAACCGCGTGCGTCACAGTCGACTTTCCAATTGTCAACGTTTTGACTGAGAACGTTTCACCTATAGCGAGGTAAGTACCAATTGAATACATGGAATGGAAATAGAGGCTTTCTCGCCACTGATTCCTTGTGCCTCAACGGAAGTTAGTCAACCGTAAGATGAAGTTTATGTAAACATGATAGCAAAAGTTTGCGCAATGTTGACAACAAAGTGATCATGAAAGCAATCAGCAATTTGTTTGCAAAGATGAATCAAGTGATCGCTTACATTAAAAGCTCATCCATGCTTGTGAGGGACAGGGGCACCAACCACACAGACACTTCAAGTTTCGCAATCCCAAAAAAAACACGAGGAGTTGCGTTCTTTTTGAAGTTGCTTTGGGTGAGCTCAAGTTTCGTGATCAGTTCTTAAGTTGTAACAGGGGTTTCAAGATTGTTTAGATGGCCAGATTGTACGAGATCATATTTAATTATCTTCGTAAATTAACCAAAGCAGGCCAAGGTTACTTGCTGTCGATGGAACTGGATAATACCTATAATTTACGCGGGACTAAAACTAAACTAGGTATCAGTAATTACAAATTCTACAGGACGATTCGAATTAAGTTCACATTACACTATTAATGCATTTGTAGGTGTTCTGTGCTCCCTGTTCCCAAGTGCAACCTGTCCAGAAGGAGAAATAGCACACGCCATGGATGTCACAAGCCAGACTTCCCTATAAGACGTAAGAGATAAAGTCAATGAGCGTGGATGGCGATCCAAAGAAAGGGTGAGCTAAATACAATTTAGATGTTTGATTAAATGCGGATTTTTGTTTTGATATTAGTTTTTGACAAACATTTATACTGAAACAGTTATTTCTTGTCCATCTCATTTTCAGCTGGCTTGGCAAGTGCTAACAGACGTTACTGTAATTTTCTTATTCGGATTATTCACAATGTTGTTATACCGTAGGTGTGTCATCAACGTTCTACATAACATCGAGAATCCGTAAGTTGATTGATTGCCGTGACATTTGTTTGTTAACTAAAAATTAAATTTTTCTTATTTTTGTAGAACATTGTGAATGATGGTTCAACGCCTACGTAACGTACTTCTAAAAAACACATAATCCTTCACTAACAAACGGAAGTTATGTATTAATGGATAACTTTTAATCTATTAAACACTAATAAACTTTTAAATGTGTGACGAATCAGTCTTTTAATTACAGCGATAGATCGATTGTCGTTAAAAATCTAGCTAAGTCTATTTAGCACTATGTTTACTGAATATAAATGACAGGGAAAAAATGAAATACATGAGTAGAAACTTTTAGGTAGTTATTGGGTTAAAATCAGACGCTTTGGATTATTTAACCAAAATTGCGGAAAATTTTGCGGTTTCCCCAAGGTGTAATATGACCCTGGGGAAATATAGGAGAAATCCCCAAAGTTTAGGAGAAATATTAGGGAAAGACGCGAAATTTTGGGGAAATGGAGCCAAAACCATAAAATTCCGCCGAAATGTTAGATATTGGCTCCCTAAAATTTCAGGCGAACGGTTTAAATTTTCCACAAAACTGGGAGATCGGGGACTTGCGGATTTGCGTTTCTCTGGTTATAAACAATATTGTTAGCCATCTTTTTTGCTGTTAAACTGAAGTCTCTCAATATACGGAGATTACCGTTTGCAAACTGTAATCAAGCATCCAAAACGACTGCTTCAACATGTGTTAGTAACAGCATGATAAAAAAAGTTTGGGGGACTTTCACTCTATTTAGAAAGTGATTCTCGGACAATAACCGAGACAAAGTGGGATACATGGTTAGGTACTCTGGACAAAACTTCACTAGTGAGGTTCCGACCAGTCCAGAACCAATGTTGATGGTAACCAGACAGACATACTAAATGCACATCCTATGTTATACACGAAAAAATTAACCAGAAAGAATGAGCAACAATCTGAGTTACAAACTGTTTGGAAAACATGTAGTGCACGAAGTTGCTTCTATCACAATATTATTCAGGATATCACTCACCCGTGGCGTCTCACGATTGCCTGGAAGGAAGCCATAGTCACTGCCATTCACAGAAAACAGCAACCATATTGGATGTTTGTCATTATAGACCAGTGAACATGAGCAATGTCTTCTTTGAGACCTTAGAAAAATTGTTTAAGGAAAATTTGTGGTCTTATTTGTGATCAAACCTTCTTTGTGGTCTTGGGAAAAGTTTGTCTTGTACAATGAGCCTTTTGCTTGTAATGGAAAACTGAGAACGAGTTAAAATAAAATCTCCAGACCCTCAAGAGTCTGATAGGAAAATACTCGTTTGCATCCTAAAATGAAATAGGCCCAAAACCAAAGTAATTTAGTAACGAAATAGGAAACTTATGTAAATAGTAGAAAATCTATAAAAACATTATTCGTCTGAATTACTATGGGAATAAAATTCACTGCGAATCTTTAGTCTTAGGTTTCCTGGAGTTTGGAAACAAAGCCACGAACCCAATAGCAAGAGTGGAATCAAAAGGTCAGGGTTAGAAAAGATAAACCAAGTTCGAAGCTTGTCAGATTTCATTAAGAAGGACAGTTTTCGTTATATTAGCATGTTAGGTATTTCAACCTTCTCCTGTAACAGCAGGACATCAGTAGATGTAACATATATAGATTTCCTTAAGGCCTTTGACAAGGTTTTGTACACTACCGGTCTGTTGAAACTTAAACGTTTAGCAGCCCCTGGATACTTGTTTAGGCAGGCTAAAAGTTTTCTACGAGTACGTAATCAGTGATGACGTCACCGTAGGTAGTCAGTAGAACTCACCGACCAATTGAAAGGTCCCTCTATGTAAACTGGTACGTAATGGAGCATGAAATTACCATATATACTATTATTTATTATTTGTGTTAGTGAACTACTTGTTATTCTTGATGCTGCCTTACGTTTATGATGCCAAAAATATGGAGGTAAGTTGATAAAGATGAGACAAGATAAGTCAATCACGAATAACAACTATTTGTTTACGGATAAGACATTTTATCAAAATATGGAGATCAGTAGGTCTTCTGCGGGATCTTTAGAGGTGTTATGAATGCTGTAGGTCTCTGGAGGACTGCCCCTGAATCGCTTATATTCTGAAAATTAAGGATTCAGTGATTCTAGGAGTTCATCACAAAGCATGAATTTAAGTCCCCGAACTGGCTTTACCACTCACCTTTGAATGAACTACAAAGTATTCATGTAATTTTAGAGTAAAACTGGAAACGGTATGTTACTATGATACAAATGGTGTTTAATAAAATTAATAAAAATAGTTTTGTTAAACTACCCAAAATGTGCTTCATATTTTTCAATAGAGTGTTTATTCTACCAGCACTTTTATCACATTTAACATAAGATTTTTGACCATAAGCTCCCAAGACATCTGGATCTTCGTATTATGATGGCCACTCTAGATGGGAATCACTCAGTCGTGAATATGGTTTGCAATACGTCACAGATGGACTACCACACACTGAAAAGGGTTGAAACTTGGCCCATTGGCCGCTGAATTCCATTACAGGTACTGCTAGAAAAGAGTTGTTGAGCTACGCATAAGTATATTTTATAAAAACTAATGCATTTTGTCAAGCTTATAATTGGTAAAAAGAATCACTTTATTTTTAGGATGTTAGCTACTTCGTTCAATAGAATCGACTGTAAAAAGTTCCGTTCAAAGCGGTAGACTTAACTTTCGACTAGCTGCACGAAGGTTGTTACCGCGCATTGCTTTCCTTCGGTCAATGGCACTTGTAGCTCCTAAAGCTCTCCAAGGGCTGTACCTGTTTTGTGAACCTCTTGCCGAAGGATCATTTGGCGTGCTGTACGTTGCAATTCACGCAGTAACACGACAGAAGGTTGCAATCAAAATACTGGATAAGAGGAAGCTCGGGGTAATAATGTTAACGTATTTATCCAACTATATAGTCTGATGCATATCGAGTCAAGGGTGAAATAGAAGCTCTTAAACAGCTAAATCACAAATACATATACAAGTTGTATCAGGTTGTGGAGACGCAGACACACTATTACCTTGTTTTGGAGGTAATAACGCCTAATTTATACACTTTTGGTAGTATCTTCCTGGTGGAGAGTTGTTTGATTATATACTTCAGAAAGAGCACTTGTCTGAGGTTGAAGCTCGCGTCATATTTAGACAGATTGTTTCAGCCATAGGATATATTCATAGCAGAGGTTTTGCTCATCGTGATCTAAAACCAGTATGTCTTATAGTGTAATTGAGTTTTTAAGGAAAATATTCTGCTGGATAATGATCAGAACGTAAGAATAATTGACTTTGGATTATGTGCAAAGGTAAGTAACTCTGTCTTGTACAATTTGTAGGGTCATAATCTGTCAATGCTAAACACATTTTGTGGATCATTTGCTTACGTAGCTCCAGAAGTTTTGGCTAACAAGGAATATTCAGGAAGTGCTGTAAGTAATTAGTTGGTTTTCCCCCTAGCTGGGTTATTACATTTCGTCATAGTTTTATACATTACAAGTATTTTGAGTCCAGTTAACTGGTCAAATTTATATTATTGAGCGACTGTTAAGCTAGCTTCCTAAAGTGGTTTTGTATGTCACTAGTCTTCACTATACATAATTTACAAAGGTTATTCGTTGTTTACGTTAGTCGCAACTACAAAAGGACGGCTTCATTAAAGGATACACCTTATCCTGCAATTTCAGCATCAAACTCAGTTCAGGTCTTCCTAAATCTGTTACCTTAGTTCAAACCTAGATTTCAGATTCAGATTTGTGCAGTAAGGACAGAAAGCCTACGGCATATGTTATTCCTTTTCTAATATGCTTCTGTGAGTGTCCAGTCTTCTCTTGAAAGCGTCAATTGAAGGTGCGGACACCACTGCTTCGGGCAGCAGGTTCTAAATATGGATGACTCTGTGTGAGAACCTGTATGCCACAGGTATTTTGTCCGTTCTTTGTTTTTCTACTCGCCTGCTATGTCCTCTGAGATGTCCCGATCTAGTGGGAAGAAAAAGAGAATAAGTTAGGTCCAAAACCATTTCTCAGTATTCTGTACATCAAAATTAGATCTCCCCTTAGTCTGCGATAGGACAGAGTAAAGAGGTCCAGCTTTTCAAGCCGCTCCTTGTATGGTAAACCCCGGAATTCTTGGACTGCACGGGTAGCTGCCCTTTGTACTTTATCTAGGATATGCGAGTCACCTTTTAAACAGGGGCTTGCAGCCTGAACGCAGTTTTCAAGCTTAGTTCTCACTAAGGTTGTGCATACTGTGGTGAACATGGTAGAATCTAACTTAGTGAAGGTCCGTTTTAAAGCCCAGAGGGTTCTAAACCCCTTAGCTGCGACCTCCCGGCAATGGGCCATCGTCTTAAGATCATGACTCACTGTCACCCCTAGATCCTTATGAGACTGGAACACGGGTACTGGCACTTCTATTACGCACCTAATAACCTTTGAATCCCCAAGGTGCATGTAGACACATTTTGCCACATTGATAGGCATCACCCACTCTTCATACCAGTTGATCATATTATTTAAGTCTGCCTGAAGAGTAAATGCGTCTTTGTCTCCAGTTATTACTCGCCAAATTTTTACATCGTCAGCGTATAATAACATTGGGGACTGTACAATACTTGGAAGATCATTTACATACAGTATAAAAAGTAAAGGACCTAGGACGGAACCTTGGGGTACTCCACTAAGTACTGGTCTCCAGATGGAGCACATGGAATTTATTCTTACTTTTTGTCTACGACCAACTAGGAAATCTTTAATCCATTTTAAAAGAGGTCCGGCAATACCAAGGTTTTCCAACTTCAATAGCAGTCTATTAGTTGGCACCTTGTCAAAAGCCTTACTGAAATCTATGTAGACAACATCCACTGAGTTTCCGTTGTCTAGCGCATTAATCCAGAACTCCCTGTCTATAAGGAGGTTCGTTGTACAGGATAGACCCTTTCTAAAACCATGTGCCATTTTCAGCAAGTTATTGGTTTCCATAAATGCCGTTATGGTCCGTTTGATTATTATTTCCAGTATTTTAATTACAACACTGGTGAGGCTTACGGGTCTGTAATTCGATGAAACTTGTCGTGGACCTGTTTTATGTGTGGGAGTGACGACTGCGTCCTTCCAGTCCATAGGTAACACACCTTGGTCAAGTGACATATTGAATATCACAGCCAGTGAGGCCGCGATATATTGGGCAATATGTCTCAAGATTTTGGGGTGTAGTTCATTTGGTCCTGTTGACTTTTCTATGTTTAGGGTGTTAAGAGCCTTAAGCACATCGTTTTGGTCGAAGTCCACAGTGAGCAGCTGATTTGTTGACTCTGTATTTGGGTCTGGTTCTTTCTCTAGAGTAGGTTCCTGAGTGAAAACTGCCCCAAAATAGTCAGCCATAGCCTCTGCTTTTTCCTAATCTTCCTCCATCATTTCAGTCAGTCAGTCAGTAAGTAACAACCTAGAACTTCGTACGTACGTACATCAGTTCGAGTTACCATACCACATTAGCACAGAATCCAGTTGTCGATTCAAATCCCGTAGTGGTAGAGGTAATAAGAGTATAAGCAGTAATCGGTAAGATTAGGGTTTGGAGATGTTATTTAAAGAGTATAATACAGTGAAATAAATTTGGGAAGAGAAAAAAAAGAGACAAGGAGGAATAAGGAGATTAGAATTTGGGAGAACACAGAGTGTATTCACCTGCGCCATTGCAAACGATTTTGAGCCATGTCATTCAGGGTCTCTAACCATCGGTTGCTATCATCTCGCGGTCCCCAACCAGGTAGTCTACACCTGCCAACATGGCTAAGTCCACTTGTCAGTGACTTCATGGACTTGTGCCATGTTTTGGTCTGGCCGCCTATCACTTCAGATTCATTCCCTTCTTTAATTAGGTTGGGAATGCAATGATGCATCCTTGTTCTGTAGTTTATGTACGAGAATATTCTCTTGGGTTGCTTGAGTGCAGATTGTACCAACTGCATTTTATATTTTCTTTGGGCTTCCCAAATTTTAGTTATACACGTGTTTCTTACCGATCTGTAGCGTTCCATCGTACCTGCTGTGCCAAGGCGGGTAGCAACATTCCAACATTTCTTTTGTCTTAGTAGAAGTCGAATATCCCGGCCTATTCAGGGATGTCCGTGCTTCCTTTTCTTTGGGACAGTCCAGGGTATGTATGGTTGAGTTACCCGATTGTATAACTGACTGAATAGAGTCCATGCCTCTTGTACTGATGCCTTTGAGTCAATTTCCCAGTTCTCAGCCGATGCTGTGGAGTTAATTGCCTGCATATCTGCCTTCCATATGTTAGGACGGGCCGGCGCAACTGTTTGACAGGCAATCTCAGCCATGAATTTGAATAAGATGACTGCATGGTCACTTCTCCAAAGTGGTGGGAGAAAAGCCATTTGACCAACGTCATCACCGCGTGTGAAGACTAAATATAAAAGAGAAGATTTTCTTAATTCGTATCTTGTGAGATCTCTAATGTGTTGGAATAATGCTAGTCCAATCGACGTTTCTAACAGTTTGCAGTCGAACGACGATATCGATGACCCTACTTCTAAGTTAACCCAGTTTATGCACGGTGCATTAAAGTTGTCTACTACAAGGCTTTTACCTTTGTTACACTAGGACTCAAGTTTACTTAGGAGAAAATCATCTACACATTCTGGACTACGATATACTACAACTAATTTACTATCTTGCCGTCTACATTTCAGCTTGCATCGCACCAGTTCAGATGTCCCTGAAATATGTGCCACTGTTTCAACTGCTCTTATGGTTAGGGTACTTTTCGTGTACAGGATAACCCCACCTCCCTATGGTTTAATCCGTCAACTCTACCGGATAAAAAACCAATCAACTGAATTTCATTATCTAATACTTCTGAAGTTAATCAAGTTTCTGAGACAGCAATAACATTCAGTTTTTCTTTATCCGCCATTGACTTGAGCTCCGCCACTTTATTTAGTAGGCTGCGGACATTTGTGTAGCATACCTTTAAGTGTGTGGAGAACCTAGTTAAAGACGTTCGACTAATCTGGTCTGTCTGCAAAATGTCACCGCCATCATATCACTGTTTATTAGAACTACCAAGATTGTTTGATACTGGATTTTTTCACATCTTCACAGTTTACTTATAAAGATGATTTGCCTTCATCTTTCAAAATATCTTGATCTTAGACCATCTGTAAATCGCAAAGTAAATTGTTAGGACTCTGCGTTCGTTTATGTAAACCTGTTTATAAAGACCTAGGTTTTGTTTATTCCTAGGCAGATATTTGGTCTTTGGGTGTCATTCTCTACGCATTACTTTGTGGTCGTTTACCATTTGACCCCACAAAACCGGAAGAGCTCCCACAAATAATTGGTGTAAGTTGAAATATTCTTAACATCATGTAAAATCAGAAAGGTTTGTTTGCAGTTCCTGATGGTCTTAGCAAAACGAGCAAACAACTTCTTAATCAAATGATATGTGTTGATCCCAAGAAGCGTATAAAAATGGATGAACTCAGACGTCACGCGTGGGTAGTTGAAGGCTTTATGGGTCATCCTGTGGATCTAGATGAAGAAAAAATACCGGTAAGTCAAATGGGTTGCTTCTGATGAATCAGTTCTGCTATCTATTGTTAGACGTTAGTAATATCTTACCTTTGTTACTACCTATCTGGTTTTTACCAAAACGTGTTCATGATTCATTATTGATATAGCCATGACCATCATAATGTCCCACAGTTTATATTAAAAATACATGAGTACTAACACGAATTAATCCTGCTTGAACACGTCCTGTGCTAGACTGCCACTTTAATCATCTTTATATCCAAATAATAGTTCTTTTTTCAATGTTTATTACAAATAAGTGCGTATTAAATGTTGTCTTAACTTCCTATCAAACATTTGCCAATGCATTTTTGTACCTATAAGATGTTATCGCAGCAGACAGGTTTATTGTTTCATTTAGGGTCATAGCATTATTATTTAGAATTATTAATTTGGATATATAATTGTAGAACCTGGGGAGAATTTATTAAAATGACTATTCTCGACCGAAGCTGGTACCTTGACGCGGTGGTCGGGCTTGCCTATCGTGATGACCCAACCGAGCTATATTGGCTGGAACATATGTTCCTGTAGGTTCTACCATGCCAGGCAGGTCGATTGGAGAACGGTAAGACTAAAAGCAGCAACTCAAGGTCTGAGGGCGAAGTCGTACTGCTGACTGTAGAGGGGTGTGACAGCAGTAAGGTGTTTCCCTCGGACAACCAGCATCTGCAGCGATGCTGCCTTCCCACGAGGAGGAATGGGGTTAGAAAAGGTTGACTCTAAAAATGTCACACCTCACCTTACCTCACGGATTTCCGTCTCCGGCGGTAAGGCCCTTTGAAGAACGGAGCTAACACATTAAAAACCTTCCACGAAAAGGCCGTGCGCGACCGGCCTCAAGCAGTTGTCCCTTGGGCTCTGCGGTCACGCTCTCAGGTCACTGAGACCAACTCTAATCCAATTTCCTTTTCAGGTTCCTCAAGAAATACCCTTCCACGGTGTGGGCAGCCGGAAAGTGATATCAGCCCTCATACCCGTAACAGCACACGAGACCAAGTTGGTCACATTCAAATCCTTCCTACACCTAATACCTCTCTTATCTCCATGACTAACCCTCCTCACGTCTCTTTATCACCTCGCACCGCTAGGGCAAACGATTTGAGTACGCGGAACGTTATTCCTGGTCTCCTGAAACCACGCTCTAAACTACACGTAGGAGCTTTTAACGTACGAACACTGTGCCAAATAGGACAGCAGGCTTCCTTAGCTAAGACTTTAGAATCCCGCGCCATCGATGTGTGCTGCGTCTCCGAAACGCGCATACAGGATCCGAGTAGCGTCATTCATTTGACCTCACCATGCCAAAATAAAGAACCGACTCGATTCGCAGTTCGTGTATCTGGAAGCCCTGATTCTGCTTCCCGTGGCCTCGCCGGCGTAGGTATAGCATTGAGTCCTAGGGCAGAACTAGCTCTCTTAGAGTGGATCCCAGTAGACAGTCGTTTGTGCGCTGTCCGACTGAACGGAACAGTAAGGATCCGAAAAGATAGGGACACTCGTCGTTGCCTCTTCGTCGTCTCTGCCTATTCTCCCACTGACTGCAGCTCAGATGATGTAAAAGATGAGTTTTACAGAAAGCTTTCCGGCCTTCTCCGAAAAGCTAGGCGCTCGGATGTAGTAATAGTGGCCGGTGACTTTAATGCTCAAGTAGGTAAACTAAACGATAGGGAAAGACACCTGGGTGGATCTTATAGCATCGTGGCTCAAAGAACAGATAATGGCGACCGTCTGTTGCAGCTATGCTCAGATAACCGCCTGTTCCTTGCAAATACTAACTTTAAGCATAAGAAAAAACATCTTTTAACATGGCGACCCCCTAATTCGTCCCAACGTTGGACCCAAATAGATCACATCGCTATCAGCCACCGATGGAGGGGCTCGATAGAAGACTGTCGCTCATTCTGGAGCACATGCTTAGATTCAGATCATGCTCTAGTACGAGCGCGTATCTGTCTGCGTCTTACTGGACGTAGGAAAGACGCTGCAAGGAAACCTCTTAGGGCCCTACTTAATGATAGTCAAGCTAAGAGTATATTTCAGGAACAACTAGGAAAACAGTTAGGCAGCCATGTATGTGATGCCCACCCTGAGGCAGCATGGAATGATATCCGAAAAGCTGTGGAAACAGCAGTGATATCTGCCAGTAAGGTAACCCGTAAGGTTAGGGAGCAACACTGGATCTCATCAGCATCTATCTCACTGATATATGCTCGGAAACTCATTCCACCTGGCTCTGAACATAATGAAGAGCGAAGTCAGCTTAAGCGCAAGTGCATTTAGAGGGTGAGAAATGCGTCCAAAACATCCTGGCATTGTTGCTCAGTGCTATCAAAAGATTGCATTTTATCAGTGTCTCCACCAAACTGGATTATATCATCTGCGTATTCTAAGTCGATAAGTGGACTTCTTGGTAGATCAGTTTCTGAAAATTTAGTCGACGATAGTGTTATTCCCATCAGTATGTCTATGATGAAGTTAAACAAAAATGGAGAAAGTGTACAGTTGTCGGACACCACTTGAGGTTTCAAAATCAGACGACAGTTCGCCATAAGCTCTGACTCGACTGGTAGTGTTCGAGTAAAGAGCCTTCACAAGGTCTATGTACTTCTGAGGTACACCTTTTAATGACAGACACTGCCACATAACCTATCGGTCTACATAGTCAAATGCTGCTTTTAGGTCAATAAAAACTGTCATTGTTGGACGCCGATAAGCATGTTTGTGTTCTAAAACCTGACGAATGGTGAATATGTGGTCGATGCAGCCACGACCAGGTCTGAAGCCAGCTTGATTCTCTCGTGTTTGCAGTTCACGAGTCTTAGTTAGGCGTCTGATAATTATCGAGGCTAGTATTTTAGATACTATATTAGATAAACTAATCCCTCTATGGTTGTCACAGGATGATTTTGACCCTCTCTTATATATTGAGACGATAAGTGATTGTGACCAGTCAGATGTAATAACGTCTAACTTCCAGATCTTAGCTAAAATATTAGTCAACCTAATCGCTAAAATTGGACCACCATCCTTAAAGACTTCTGGAGCCAATCCATCTGGACCAGCTGCCCTTCCTCGCTTCAGATTAACTATAGCCTTTTGAACTTCAGATAGAGTTGGGGGACCTACTTCAATGTTCCATTCACACTGTCTGGGAATGGAGGGTAGTTGTGGAATAGCTAAAAGCCAGCTGAACTGCTCCTTAAAGTGTCCTGCCCATCGTTCTAAACGTCTTGATTGAGAGCAGATGAGGGTGTCGTCTTTTTCCGAAATAGTCTGACTTACACTTGACTTATTAATTCCAGTTTCTTTTATTAGTCTGTAGACCTGTCTTGTGTTCTCTATAGCCACCGCCTTTTTCATCTCTTTTGCTTTTTTTACCCACCACTGCTCACGGTCGTTCCTTAGACTTTTGCTTAACCTAGATCTGATTTGTTTTCGCTCTTCATCGTGTTCAGAGCCTGATGGGATGAGTTTACGAGAATCCATCAGTGCAATAGACCTTGAAGAAATCCATTGGTTCTTTGTAACCCTATGGTTCAAATCACTGATAGATGTCACCGCTGTTTTTACAGCTGTTTGTATAACTTTCCAAGCAACATCTGGATCAGTCTCGTTTTCAGAACTACCTAAGTGTGACCTCAGTTGTTCCTGGAATCTACTTTCGGCTTTCTCGTCACTCAGTTTAATTCTTATGGGTCTTTGTGTGTTTTTTTTGCATCCAGTAAGGCGCAAGCAAATGCGTGCCCGTATTAGAGCATGATCGGAGTTCAAGCAGGTGTTCCAGAACGAGCGACAGTCTTCTATCGAGCCTCTCCAACGATAACGTATGGCAATATGGTCTATTTGAGGCCATCCTTAGTTTGGTGCAGGGTGTCGCCATGTTAGGCGGTTTCTTTCCTTATGCTTAGAATTAGTGTTTGCTAAAAATAAACGATTGTCTGAGCACAGTTGCAGTAGACGATCACCATTATCTGTTCGCTGAGCCGGAATACTAAAATAATAACCTAAATGCCTTTCTGTTTGGTTTAAACTACCTATCTGGGCATTAAAGTCACCTGCTACAAATACTACGTCTGAACGTTTAGCTTTCTGAAGAAGTTCAGATAGCTTTCTGTAAAATTCATCTTTCACTTCATCTGAGCTGCAGTTGGTGGGAGCGTAGGCAGAAACGACAAAAAGGCAACGACGTTTGTCCCTATCCTTCCGAGTTCTTACGTAGCCGTTTAGCCGAACAGCACATAAACGACTGTTAACGGGGATCCACTTTAACGATGCTTGTTCCGCCCTCATGCTTAGTGCTATCCCTACTCCTGCCAGTCCATGAGAGCTGGCCATCGCGTCACCAGATACACGGAGGGTGTATCTCGTCGGCTCTCCGTTTTGCCGAGGTGAGGTCAAGTGAATGACCACATTGGGATCGTGTATGCGTGTTTCAGAGACACAGCATACATCAATGGTACGAGATTCTAGGGTTCTAGCCAAGGAAGCCTGTTGACCGATTTAACATATGGTGCGTACGTTGAAGGCTCCAATGTGCAGTTTGGAGCGAGGTTTCAGTAGACCTGGGACAGTGTTTTGAGCACTAGAATAGTTGGCTATGGTGACATTTGAGAAGGAAGTTTAGAGGTGAAAGTCGATGTGGGAGGAGTAATAGGAATTGAAGAGTGAGGTTGATTATGAATAAAGTGGTCCTGAGTGTTGTTAGAGTTATGAGGGCGGTTATCACTTCCCGGTTGCCCACACCGAGGAAGGGTTCTTCTGGAGGTACCTGAAAAGGAAATTGGGTTAGCGGTGGTCTTAGTGACCTGGGAGCGTGACCGCAGTGCCCAAGGGACAACTGCTTGAGGTCGGTCACACACGACCTTTTCATGGGTAATTTTTGTGTTAGCTCCGTACTTTTTGGGACCTTACCGCCGGAGACGGATATCCGTGGGATAAGGCGAGGTGTGCATTTTTAGGGTAGATTTTTTCTAATCCCACTCTTTCTTGTGCGAAGGCAGCATCGCTGTCATGCTGGTTGTCTGAAGGAAACACCTTACTGCCGTCACACCTCTGTACAGTCAGCAGTACGACTTCGCCTTCGGACGTTGGGTTTTTTGCTTTTAGTCTTACCGCTCTTCAACCGACCTGTCTGACATGGTAGGACCTTGAGGAACGATTGTTCCAGCCAATATAGCTCGATTGGTTCATTACGATAGGCAAGATCGATCACCACATCAGGGTAGCAGCAACGGTCTGGTAAAAAATATGAACCGTAAAGGAGTCGAAATCGTTGTAGTAGCAATGACAATGAGATATAGTAAACTTAAAGTATATGGTTCAAGATGTGTGGAAGAAGTGTGTTTAATAATACGAGAACTCAATATAGGGGAAGATAAAGTGTAAATGTATCTGCACTACCATGATCGATCTTAAGTCATGTAACTCTACGTCTCCAACCACTGGTTGTGGTTAATGCATGAACCCAAATCAAGCAGTCTAAACCTGGCAACACGAAGCAAACCAACAGTCATTGACTTCATAGGCTGATAGCACTTTTTGGTCTGATCACTTATGTTTCGTCTAACTTACTCCTGCTCCAACCGACTTTGTGGGCGGTGGTTTGTGATACGTAACATTTGTTGTAGTCACCTCAATTGATGAAGATTCTTAGCCTCATCATCCGATTTACCTTTTTCCCTAGTACCCTAAGTCTAACCTCAGTATTACTCACCCAGTCATCATGTGATGTGGAAGCAATGTCTCAAAGACATGCTCAAAAGTCTGAAGCCTATCCGTGTCTTCTGCCCTTGTAGAATAAGTTTCATATAGAGTGGACTGCTGCACAATGTACTCGCCCCTCGGTTAGCAGACTGACGTCTCATCTACGTCACAAGTAACACAAGTTATCAAAAGCTAAACGAAATTATTGGTGACAAATATTTATGTTTTCAGCTATTGCTTTGTGATTTCTGTAAATGTGATGAACTACAGGACGTTTGCCAGATTCTTCGTTCAGTAACATCTAGTTTGATTTCTTTTTGACGTCATACATCAACTTTAAGGAAACCGGTACAATCACCATTCATTTGTATGATTTGAATCATGCTAAGTATGTACAGATAAACTAGTGAATGAAAAGCCAAGAAATTTTATTTCAAGCAATACTCTGTTATGAATTTTGCATATACATTTCACACTTTCATGGTCTTATTTGTCACAATGGTCTTGGTTAATACTCAGTAATTATCAACTTGGTTTTTTTTCTGCAGTTGTCGCCTCTCAACATGCAAATTGTCGCTGAAATCACTGCGTACACTCGGATTCCAAAAGTGGAGCTTGCTCGAATGTTGCAAAAAGTAATCGTTGTACATATTTTTTTGTCTCATTCCGTATGTCTTCGTAGGTTTTAATTATGACGGTTTTTAAATTCACTAGTAAACTAGGTGGAACTTGAGGACACTTATCAGAGATTAAGGTCACTAACTTTAAAGTAATTATGTATAATCTTGGTTGTAAACTTCCTTGGGAGCAGTATGATGTGCGTCATCAGTTTATTAAGGATATAAAAATGTTGATAATCTTTGGGATATTTTACGTTTATAGTTTTTGATACTTCATCATTTGAATAGATAAAAAGTGCGGATGCTGTTTGTTCATTTCCGAATTGGTCAATTACTTCAAAATTCTCTGTAAATTCCTCACTAGTAATTGACTTTATAAAGGATTAGTAGTACACTTTGCCGATGCCAGTGTAGATATTGTCCTGGTTACTCTTCCCTATTAAATTTCGTTTTACCTTCCCTTGGTTCCCAAATCCCGAAATGACCTTATACCTTTCTTCTCTACACCTAGTCTTTTTACTACTACTGATTCTGTTACTGCTCCCATCACTCTGTGATCTGTCGAGATAATTTTATCTCACTGTGCTAGTTTGATGAAGTAAATTAAACCAACACACATGTGTCAGGTTCTACGTTGCATATGACTGAGTCTATCGCATTTAAAATATCCATTACAGATTGAACCAGTGAATCGTTTTATTGTTTTCAGAGTAATACATTTAACTGAAAATTAATTATACTTATCGACGTTTAAACTTTTTATTCTACTCATACAACTACAAATCATGTGTGGATCTCTGTGGTTAGATTTCTGAGAGTTATGGTGTAATACTGAGGTTTCTGTCCAATACAATTCAATTAGTATTAAGATAATTCAGGGCGAAATTATATATTTATTATGTTTAGTACATTATAGACTTTAGAGTCATCACCTGTTTTGCTTTAATTAAGCAATTAATCGTGTTTTATTCACTTCATTTGTTAAGGTAAACCACTGATGTGTTATTATTTGTTCTGAATGAGGAAAACCGTATATTCAGTACTAGTTCACTCTCAAACCAGTCAGTGTTCTTATGTTTAAGTTAAAAATATTAATTAACTATTCAATGGATGGCTTCTTTTACTGATCTATTGATTGATTAATATAATCTGATGATCTGGTACTACTGTTAATTTAAAGTAGCACTAATGTGCTAAGTACCCCTAGATTTTGTTTTTCTTTCCGTTTATTTTTTGACAGCTAAAACGCACAAGTATTGTCGCTTTAAGGGACAACTAACACTAAAGGATTTGCCGCATTTGAAAACTATAATGCATATCGATTAAATAAAAACCCAGCTTAATAAATTGATTTATTCGTTGGCTAGTGACTTGTTTATGAGGGTTATTGATACTGCCTGGGTGTCCAAGCCGAAATAGGTGTATTAGGGTTCAAATCTGGGACTTATTGGCTAAAAGTCAAACGCCTTAATCAATAAACCACTATTTCCAAAATTTGTTTGTCCTTTCTTCATGACTGTCCACTTTTGATGCCCATCATCTACCTAAAACGTTTCTGCTTCTTAGATCTGATTTTTCTTAGAAGTTGTATTTTAAAAAAATTACAAAGGTATAAACATTTTCATGAAATGACTGTGAAGTAATTGTGTATTCTCTTTCTCCATCGTAATTCTATTTCAACGCATTTGGATTAGTCATACGTAACCAAATGTAAATAAAACGGCTAAGGTACATCTATGTTCGTCCAGTTCACTGATCTTTTATAAACTATGTGTAATGCATTCTGATTTTACATTTAGATTCTTAATTGTCTGTACCCCTTGGTGTGCTTACAAAGAAAAATTATCCAAACATATTTTCTTGTGTCTGATGGTAATGATCCACAATAATGCAGTTGGATTCATTGTTTATATATTGAACTTAGTTTCATTCGATACTTTCCATTTTCAATCTTATTCGTTTCTTTTGGATACTATTTATTATTTTTTACTTTCCATCACAGTTAATGTGATTCCCCTTCTATTTCCATCTTGTTGCTTTAATCTCTATCTGTAGTGATGCGAAATGTGGCAGCTTAGGTTGATTTACACATATATCATGCTCTACTTTGTTTATAACTGACTGTTATTAAATAAGGTATGTCTTTTCAATGGATGCATTCGATTTGTTGAATGTATTTGAATGCATGCAGACCTTTTGTCACAGTCTTGGCAGTATGGATTTGCAAAAATGCGAATTCACATGTTATGATGAGCTATAATTTCGTGTCATTCAAACTGTTATTTCATAGGTATAAACTATTAAAGCGTTAAACCATTCTGACTCCAGGATGCGAAGCGCACCTGTCTACTTTTGAATGATAGAATATGATATACTATTATATACGATTAATTCAACAATGTGTTGCTGTTTTTACAAATACCTCTTAGAGTAGTTTAGAATCTGATCAATGCATACGTCGAAAACAGCGATTTTTAAACAGACGAAACTAGTAGTTTTCCGAGCGTTAAAATTGCGTTCTGTATCTATTCTTGGTCCATAATACATATGATAGTTGTAGTCGTCTATGCAAACCATCTAATTCTGTGCTCATTAACTATGTTTTCGAAATTGATTCCTAGAATTTCAAGTAGGAGGTCGTGATATATGGAGGCAACCCAATCGGATCTATAACAAGTACCACTGATTACAGTACATAATGTTCACATTATATCCCAAATACAATAAAATTGTAAAATGGAAATGCTTCGGCTTCAGTTTATTGTTTAAATGGTACGAATCGCACTAAAAGACCAGAACTCTATAGTTTCGACCTTGTGTTGAACTGTAAGTAGACAGTACTGGAAATTTCCACACTGGAAAATATTCACAAATAGACGTTCGATAACCTTCATATTCTGTTAATTTACCTATTAGTTCTGTAATAATAAATGATATATCAGTTACTGTTCCTTTACTAGAATGCGTGTTTTTTTTTTATTTCAACAGCGTCCATATGATTATATTATGGCCACTTATATGATAATGGAATCAGTTTTGGAGGAGGAGGACGTGTTTATCCGACTCCAACGCCGCAATAATCCACCTCCTAGTGCAGCAGTACCATCTAAGAAGCTTCATACATTTTCTTGTCGTCAAATTCGAGATGAAAAATTTTCAGCTTCAGCCCCCAGTAGTACCCCACTACACCGTGGAAACGTGACTGTTCCATCATCGGTACCCGGAGCTCCTTTGCATGTTAGATCTGGCAACTTAATTCAAGCTGCTTTTATTGATGAATCCAGTACTTCTGATTTACTTATCGAAGTTCGTGCTCTAATTGTTTTCAGTTTATATCATTTGTTTACGTAAATTAATTCTTATTCGGATTATATCCTATCATTTGTCTGTACACTTGATATACTTTGTTCTTCTACTGGGAAGAGTTCAAATACATCAGTAAACTATAGATTAAAATTATAGATGGTCAACCACATTACCTCCTCATATGTCTGGTTGCCGTGTTCGCGGTAAGTGAAGCGGGGTTAAAGCTTACACCATATGGTAAGACAGTTGATTTTCAAATCGTATTCCATACTCTCAGGTGATTAGTGAATATCAACTTCGGAGTTGGATGAAGAATGCTGATGAGCAGCCTATGTTCCTCCATGAAGGGTTATAGGCATAAGTAAGTAAGTAACTTCGGATTATGTAAGCCTAAGATAAAGTAATTGTAATTGCATAACCATCTTTGAACTAGGGACACAGTAAGAAATGAAGAATTTTTGTTTATAAAAGGGCGTCACGATTATGGTACAACTCATCCGTATGTGTAATCGCTTATTTACATTGGTTATACGTGGATTATTGGCTAAGGTGTCCTACTTTCAAATATCAGATCCCTGATTTGAACTCCACACCACCTACTTCAGTTTGGACGACTATGTATTGTCATAAGCTATCATATTTAGAATGTGCATCATGCCAATGTACCTGGTAAGTTAGAGAAAACACGAAACAAAATAACATGACTAGATAAAGAAGCTAGTGAGAGTAAAGCATTGGTCATCGTGAAAAATGTAGACTTCTGATTCATAATAGAATTCCGGCCGAATAAAAGTGAGAATTCAAATTATTAAACAAGAACAACATTGTTAAGGCATTTCTAACATTCTTGAATTAATAAAAAGTGATAACTTCAGGTGATCTTATCTTAAATCCCTTTTTTGTTAATCTCATCTATCTTTTCTAAATACCTGTAAATTATATATATATATATATAGTGATAAGACGTGGGTTAGCACACATCTGTTTTAATGATATGTTAAGTTTTATTTAAAGCATTTGCTTCCTATTTACTGGCTTATAGGTTTACTCATTTTTTGCAAACTTATGAGTATCCCCCATAATAATGTTTTTCTAATCTCAATGAAAATATGCAGAGTTGCATCTTAACGTTTTGTAACAAATTATTTTCTGCGATAAATGATTTGGATTTTGCTGGTCTGTTTGTATGCATTATTATCAGTAAACGGTTAGTTCCGATTAATAAAAAGTCTTTGTTTTGGTAAACATGAAAAAGCACTTTTAACTAAGTATAATACTATAGAATTAGTTTATATTTATTTAAGCTAATGAGCACTGATAATCATGTAAAAAATAGCTATAAAGATTAGCACTACTTTCACGATTCTATCAGTTTGTTAGAAATAACGATAATATAAATGCAATAACGTTGTGTCTATAGTGACTGTACAGAACGTAACTACAGTCCTGTGTCCATGAAATATATTTCCTTTTGCTAATATATTAAACGTTCATCAGGCCGCTTATTATATTGCATATTCTGAGATTCTGAATTCAATACTTTAGTGTTAAGTGTTAGTTCATAATGTTTGAAAATATTTCATTATCAAATAATTCGCTTCATATGTGATTACTGCTGTCGATGTATTGATTATGGCTATAAATCTACTATATTTTAATGTTTTATTTTTTACCTTGCAACATCATATTGGAATCGTCGTTTTTACTTGATACCAATCAGGCTGATAAAAGTACCAAGCTCAATTCATCTTTCTCTCCATCTAAACGTGATATTTTTCCAACTCAAATAAACACAGAACTGGTCATACTAAAAGTGAAATCGAAAATTGTCCTCCTCAGTTCTTTTACCCTGATATGGTTCCAGTGAATAAAATGATCCCTCAATCTCGAGGTAGTTTCGTTTTACTGTTAATTATCATATGCTGTAAGTACTCATTCGTATTTTTTCCGTGTAGGATTTACCATTTAGCAGCCTATCTTGAAAAATACAGCAATACAAGTTGAATATCTAAATATAAATATTCAACCTCTAAGATATATAACGAATTATACATGCGTTTGGACTAGTTTAAATGGTTTTGAGCTGTATCGAAGAATCTTCAAAGAAATATTACTCATATGTCCGTTTTCTACAACCTAACAAATATATATCCAGCTCATATTGATGACAAATAATTGAGTTGTTAAAACAAGCGAATATCCTAACAATGTCAAAATAAATAGGATTACTTATGTATATATATCATAAATATTTATTCACGCAAGTTCCGATAGTATTAGTTGAGATCCGCGGGGATGTTAAGTAAATGCCTCGAAATCGACTACAGTATTGAAGATACATTCGCTCTTTATATTCCTTTAGGTCTCGAGGTTTAGTATTATCTCACACTGTTTATCCCTTGGATTCATCTCTTCAAACTGTATTCTTCATTGCTTTATCTTTCTTACAATTTCGACTTTCCCAATTTTTTTAAAAAATTAATTTAGTTTGGCAACTTAGGCTGACGCTGCCAAGCCGTATACTGATTTTAAAAAAATGCTGCTTCTCAATTCTATTGTTGAAGTCTCGTTCTAAACTTTTCAAGAATATCAATCACTATATTCTAATATTTCCATTTTTTGGGATTCCCACCCAGTCTTTTCACCAGTGCAATATTTTTTTCATTATAGTTATCTTAAAATTAGATAACTTGGATATTTCTGACAAATTAATATTCATTGGTATAATGTGATTTAGCACGTACATTTCAGATATTAAACACAATAAAATATCTCTTTTGCCGCTGTTAAATTCTAACTTCATTTAAATAAAGATTGATCAATTTTTCAGGTAAAATTACAGATCATCCTGGTCTATCTCCCAGTCGTTCCGTTGACTCTCAGCTCATCAATTTGACGCATGATTTTCACAATGCGCACTTGACTGAAAAGTAAGTTAGCAGACTTTGAAGTTTTGTTTATTGAAGCTTTCGATAAAATAAACGCCTAGAAACGACTTTTGCACGCCAAATTTGTATACTTACCAATGATCAGCCGCTAAATATAATAAACTTATTTGGTATCCGAATATTTGATCTGAGATCTTGACTTTCACGTCCGACCTCTTCGTATTTTCATCAATAAGTTTATAATGTCCTGGTATTTTACGCTAAAAAATTCGTATACACCTTTGGATGGATAATTTTTAGTTTGGGAATGTCACAAAATTCTCTTCCACATCTTATGCAATCGCATCCATTATTATGTAAGGGACAGTAGCTTAAGGGTATGTGCTTATTTCTCATCCCTTACAGATGAAATCCATCTCTTGGTCAATCACATGGACTCACTATTTAGCGATTTTTGATTGGACCACTTCACCGTCATTTTAACTATCTGGAGTATATTCATGTCTTATTTTTATACTTGCTTTACTATTGACAGCTTCACTTATGAAATCTAGTTACTACATTTGTTCAGTTGCAACCGAAAATCTTTTATGAGTATATTCTTCTAATTGTATTAAATTTCTTCATTATATTTAGGGCATTAATAAAAAAAACAGATTTTTTGTGGTTATTTAAACTAATTTCAGTCCAGCTAAAAATGTGTGGATTACCGCTTTTACCAGTTATTTGCTTGTGTATTTGTTTTACAGTTTTAGTTGCCGTTGTGGATTTTCATGAAAAAAAAAGAATTTCAATGATTACATCAAATTTAGATTGTAAACACTTTCTGTTTTTATTTATATAGAAGACGTCCTATTTCGGTAACTGAGGCTACTAGTGAGGATAACTTATCTACCGCTTACTCATCGTTGTCATCGCAATTACAGCATGAAATAGCATCTCTCCACTCAAGTCCTGGCGTCGCCGGTGATGATTTCTCACAATCCCAAAGTTCAGCTGATGAATGTGGGACCAATTCAAGTCGTGTTCCTGAAGTTAGTAGTTGGCGCAATTTCGGGCGTCTACGAAAAGCTCTTACTCCAAAAAACGTCGTACCAGATGGTCGACTTGTTGTGGATCGGTTACGAAAAACGCGTCATTTAAACAATGTGTTGATTGTACGAAACGACTTGAGTCCTGGTCAGGTGTTTGATCAGATAACTGCAGCGTTAAAGCAACAGTCTATACGCTTTACTCTTAAAGGGTTTGTTCCAACACATTTGTTGAATTTTTGTGTCATTCGTTTTGTTGACTCAGTTAAAAATCTTTTCTTATTTAAAAATTTTTTAGTTTACACTAAGAAAGATTCGTTGAAATTTATTATTTATTACTGAATGTAACATCTCTAGAATTGATAACTTCATAAAGGTACTGCTTGCATAATCGAATACTCAAACTTTTCTAAATATTTTCCCGTATTGAGTCACTAATATTATCTGTAATCATAATGCTGAATATTTTCTGGCAAAATCATTAAACTTGAGATCTAAGTTAAACCATTAGTTAAGTTTCTGCTTTTAACAATAAGAATGATTATCAGTTGTCGTTATTAATTGCAGACTGTTAAATTCAGGCTATCGATATATAATGAATTTTATAAGAATGTATAAATATAGTGAAGTATTACTGTATTAGTGTTTTCATGACATCAATTACATATTTGTCTTCTAGTACACCTTCTGTACTGGCGAACATAGTAGGTTTCTCTTTCGCAAGCTATTGGAATTTTAAATCCACATTCAAACAACATATTTTTTTCTATAGTCAGTTAATTTATAAAGCTGAGTAGTAAAAAAGTAATATTTCTTTCTATTCTAAGTAGATCTGGCTTCCTGTGCGTTTTCGCCAATGATTGGGGAAAAACTGTGCTGTCATTCGAACTGGAACTGGTTTATGTTTCAGCCAGGGCAGTCGAAGCTTCAGTTCGGCGTCGAATGACTTTAAGGTCAACGTCACCAGCAGCCCCCATGGTTCCTGCGCATTCAAGTGAAATTTCAAACCATCCTGGGATGGCTACCAATACATCGACTTCTTCTAAAGGTTCCTCCCGTCTGCCTTCAAATTCTCGCGACCAGCATGATCGAATGCTTGGAATAAAGATGAAACGTATTCGTGGTGACTCATTCATGTACACTAGCTTATGTCGTACTATTCTTGACTTAGCTGGTTTGCGACCAGAAAATTAAGATCTTTTTTTACAATTCTGACAAACCCATCAATCTATTCCCCAAGCGTTTGTGATAGAACAATTAACACATCTAGATGAATGCAATGAATATTATGCTAACAATAAATGCTAGTGATTTCATAGTTTTATTTATAATGTAATTAATATCTGTTTGATGGTGAATTACCTTTTAAGGCTGAGCTTATTAGCTTTTCATGAAAACAGTACTATTTCCTGCGTGAAGCCAATGATCAGGGTTGCCTTTAAGACTAGTCAACATTTGTTTGAATTCTAATAAACGGCAAACTGAATATGGTAGCTAAGACTGGTAAACTAATTTTAAGGTTGTAACATCAAGTTTATTGGTGCATCACCTATGGTGTAGGTGAGATTATCTTTTACTTATGGAGATGTAGTTATACTTAATACCAGTTTGTTGTTGTAAGTGTTGAACGTGGAGTTTTACATTTGATCAAAACTGTTTGCAAAGCATTCATATATGGTAAAACATAGTTTCAGTGTTAGTTGGTTTGATTGTTTTCTTTAAACTCCGAGATTATTCTTAGATCGAACAGAGACATATTGGTTCCCGAGTCATTACCCGATATACCAAATGCTGGCTAGATAGTCTCGCGTTTTAGATTTGAGAGTTGTGGCCCTGGATCTGGCTCCAGTTATACGATATGTTAGATTGTTATTGAAATATACATACCGTCAATCTTCGTATAAAATCGTCGACTTAACTCTCATTAATGAATAACGGAATTAAATAAGTGAAATCCGAGAATTGGCGTTTGAATACATGTGTTCTGTACACTCGTTGATTGGAGCAGAGAATCGCAGCGAATGAAGCAAAGAAAGAGCGTAGTGGAGAGGGCCTGTGAGCTAATTCCATTTAATCAGTCGTTAATCGATGTTTATAGTCACACCAAAATAAATTTCAGACATGATAAATGAGGTAATAAGGGCACACACCTACGCTCGTATGAAAACAGTAAAGGCTGATAAGCACGTATTCAACAAGGTCAGAATGTAGCTCGAGAAGAATGGATTAACTGATTTGTCCGTAAGCTAGAATAAACTATGTGGATCAACCACTACAAGAGATATGGATGTGATCCGTTTCAGTTGCAGTCTTCTCTCTGCGACCTACGGTTTCAGTTACGTTTGCTGTCTTGATAGATCTGGACTATTGTACTCTTGTTGTAACTTATTTCTCGGGATTCATTTAAGAAGTTCCATTCTAATTCTTTTATATTACACAGGAGGTCCAGCTTATCACTGTCACTTCACAAACTAAAAATGAAGACAATCTAGTCAGTTCTGTCGATTCATTGGCATGTGGAAAAATTAGGGAACCGAGGGTGTTTCCTGATGGACAGTGGTGTCACTCATAAGTTTAGGTTTTGAAAATATACAGTGGTTTTTCTCATCGCTAAAGTGAATCAGTCTTGCGTACTTTTCTGAGTGAACATTCATAAAGCTTTATTGGTGAAGGCATAATGAAGCCACCTAATACATCGAGATCCTCCCAATAATTCCTAATTATATTTCTACGTAATACATTTTTATCTACCTAAGTTCGGATGACTGGAAATCCTTTGTTATATATCACAGCCTGGAGAAATTGGGTTGGGTTCGCGTACTACGATGAATCCACGACCGTTGTTGCTACCTTGATGTAGTGGTCGGGCTTGCCTATCGTGATGAAGCAACTGAGCTATAATGGCTGGAACAATCGTTCCTCAAGGTCCTACCATGTCAGACAGGTCGGTTGAAGAGCGGTAAGACTAAAAGCAAAAAACCCAACGTCCGAAGGCGAAGTCGTACTGCTGACTGTACAGAGGTGTGACGGCAGTAAGGTGTTTCCTTCAGACAACCAGCATGACAGCGATGCTGCCTTCGCACAAGAAAGAGTGGGATTAGAAAAAATCTACCCTAAAAATGCACACCTCGCCTTATCCCACGGATATCCGTCTCCGGCGGTAAGGTCCCAAAAAGTACGGAGCTAACACAAAAATTACCCATGAAAAGGTCGTGTGTGACCGACCTCAAGCAGTTGTCCCTTGGGCACTGCGGTCACGCTCCCAGGTCACTAAGACCACCGCTAACCCAATTTCCTTTTCAGGTACCTCCAGAAGAACCCTTCCTCGGTGTGGGCAACCGGGAAGTGATAACCGCCCTCATAACTCTAACAACACTCAGGACCACTTTATTCATAATCAACCTCACTCTTCAATTCCTATTACTCCTCCCACATCGACTTTCACCTCTAAACTTCCTTCTCAAATGTCACCATAGCCAACTATTCTAGTGCTCAAAACACTGTCCCAGGTCTACTGAAACCTCGCTCCAAACTGCACATTGGAGCCTTCAACGTACGCACCATATGTTAAATCGGTCAACAGGCTTCCTTGGCTAGAACCCTAGAATCTCGTACCATTGATGTATGCTGTGTCTCTGAAACACGCATACACGATCCCAATGTGGTCATTCACTTGACCTCACCTCGGCAAAACGGAGAGCCGACGAGATACACCCTCCGTGTATCTGGTGACGCGATGGCCAGCTCTCGTGGACTGGCAGGAGTAGGGATAGCACTAAGCATGAGGGCGGAACAAGCATCGTTAAAGTGGATCCCCGTTAACAGTCGTTTATGTGCTGTTCGGCTAAACGGCTACGTAAGAACTCGGAAGGATAGGGACAAACGTCGTTGCCTTTTTGTCGTTTCTGCCTACGCTCCCACCAACTGCAGCTCAGATGAAGTGAAAGATGAATTTTACAGAAAGCTATCTGAACTTCTTCAGAAAGCTAAACGTTCAGACGTAGTATTTGTAGCAGGTGACTTTAATGCCCAGATAGGTAGTTTAAACCAAACAGAAAGGCATTTAGGTTATTATTTTAGTATTCCGGCTCAGCGAACAGATAATGGTGATCGTCTACTGCAACTGTGCTCAGACAATCGTTTATTTTTAGCAAACACTAATTCTAAGCATAAGGAAAGAAACCGCCTAACATGGCGACACCCTGCACCAAACTAAGGATGGCCTCAAATAGACCATATTGCCATACGTTATCGTTGGAGAGGCTCGATAGAAGACTGTCGCTCGTTCTGGAACACCTGCTTGAACTCCGATCATGCTCTAATACGGGCACGCATTTGCTTGCGCCTTACTGGATGCAAAAAAAACACACAAAGACCCATAAGAATTAAACTGAGTGACGAGAAAGCCGAAAGTAGATTCCAGGAACAACTGAGGTCACACTTAGGTAGTTCTGAAAACGAGACTGATCCAGATGTTGCTTGGAAAGTTATACAAACAGCTGTAAAAACAGCGGTGACATCTATCAGTGATTTGAACCATAGGGTTACAAAGAACCAATGGATTTCTTCAAGGTCTATTGCACTGATGGATTCTCGTAAACTCATCCCATCAGGCTCTGAACACGATGAAGAGCGAAAACAAATCAGATCTAGGTTAAGCAAAAGTCTAAGGAACGACCGTGAGCAGTGGTGGGTAAAAAAAGCAAAAGAGATGGAAAAGGCGGTGGCTATAGAGAACACAAGACAGGTCTACAGACTAATAAAAGAAACTGGAATTAATAAGTCAAGTGTAAGTCAGACTATTTCGGAAAAAGACGACACCCTCATCTGCTCTCAGTCAAGACGTTTAGAACGATGGGCAGGACACTTTAAGGAGCAGTTCAGCTGGCCTTCAGCTACTCTACAACTACCCTCCATTCCCAGACAGTGTGAATGGAACATTGAAGTAGGTCCCCCAACTCTATCTGAAGTTCAAAAGGCTATAGTTAATCTGAAACGAGGAAGGGCAGCTGGTCCAGATGGATTGGCTCCAGAAGTCTTTAAGGATGGTGGTCCAATTTTAGCGATTAGGTTGACTAATATTTTAGCTAAGATCTGGAAGTTAGACGTTATTACATCTGACTGGTCACAATCACTTATCGTCCCAATATATAAGAGAGGGTCAAAATCATCCTGTGACAACCATAGAGGGATTAGTTTAACTAATATAGTATCTAAAATACTAGCCTCGATAATTATCAGACGCCTAACTAAGACTCGTGAACTGCAAACACGAGAGAATCAAGCTGGCTTCAGACCTGGTCGTGGCTGCATCGACCACATATTCACCATTCGTCAGGTTTTAGAACACAAACATGCTTATCGGCGTCCAACAATGACAGTTTTTATTGACCTAAAAGCAGCATTTGACTATGTAGACCGATAGGTTATGTGGCAGTGTCTGTCATTAAAAGGTGTACCTCAGAAGTACATAGACCTTGTGAAGGCTCTTTACTCGAACACTACCAGTCGAGTCAGAGCTTATGGCGAACTGTCGTCTGATTTTGAAACCTCAAGTGGTGTCCGACAACTGTACACTTTCTCCATTTTTGTTTAACTTCATCATAGACATACTGATGGGAATAACACTATCGTCGACTAAATTTTCAGAAACTGATCTACCAAGAAGTCCACTTATCGACTTAGAATACGCAGATGATATAATCCAGTTTGGTAGAGACACTGATAAAATGCAATCTTTTGATAGCACTGAGCAACAATGCCAGGATGTTTTGGACGCATTTCTCACCCTCTAAATGCAAGTTGTTACTTCAGGACTGACCTACATCAACAAATTCAGTTATCTCGGAAGTCTGGTCAGTCGGTTTATGTCTGACAAAATCTCTGCACGGATTCAGAAAATTCATTTGGATCTTTCCATCTTGCACTACCTGTGACGAAGGCGACATATCCGTCTATCAATTAAGAGACGAGTATACTGCACAGCAGTTCATTCTATTTTAATTTACGGCAGCGAAACATGGGCATTAAGAGTAGATGACACTCGTAAGCTACTAGTATTTGACGACAGATGCCTTAGAAATATTGCTGGCGTCTGCTGGGATCACTGGGTAAGTAATATTGAGGTTAGACGCAGGGTATTAGGGAATGGTGGTAAATCAGTTGATGAGGTTGTGAATCTTCATCGACTGAGA